ATAATCGGCAATGTGTCTGCAAGAAACTAAATTTGGTGACACTATCCATCTTTCGACCTTCAAGTTAAACCTTGACTCCAGTTTTTAATAGGATCTTCATCAACAACCTCGAATCCCACCTTCACCGGCCGACTCGTAGGTAATTTTTTTACTGTGCTTTGCTCTGACTTCCCGGGTTTCAACTTAGCGGTCGACGTCACCGTCTATCCTTCATGGGTAGCTATCTCGACGTGCGAGTGATGGCTAATAATTTACAATACAACCTTCACATTGTGTATACGCTTGATGGTTGCTAATTTACGATGCTTTCTCCACAATGTGCATGCGCCTGTCGAAAGATTCTGACCGCCAGGAAATACCACGCTTTTTCTCGAGTCTTGTCACAGAGTATTTTAAAAACCGCGCGATTCACATTGTGTCATGATATCTCAATAATCCACTGTACCTGCTCACTCTACCTTAGACATGCGCTATGAACCGGGTCGGTCCAGATGTCATAAATGGTTGGCTAAGCTTGATGTCGTTTACGCTTGGCAGATCCTCACAGACTTTACACAAAATTTACTTGTCCTCACCCTACAAGAACCGTCTCGATTAAGGTATGATGTCGGAGTCCTATTTCAACTTCTGCTTTGGCGATTCTCAGTACTGTGTTCTGCAATATGCAGGCAACTACATTGATCACAGTGTGAGTTTTCGGTCTTGATCCCAGATCCACGGTCGTGGATGCTAGTAGTTTCCGAGTTGCCTGCTGGAAACTCCTTTGGTTGTTTCCGCAATCAAAATCGATGCGGAGATCGTCCGGGACAAATTGCACTTTACCTTAAATACGGAATGGATATGGTAATCTTGGAAGCAAACATTTAACTCTTAGATTCGAGCAGTCTAAACTAAGCTTTTCGTCCAAGCCGCTCCGGCTATTGAGGTGGCTTGGACCCGTCTTGATCGTGCCACTGCCAGGTTTTGCGAAAGTTTGTGTGCCGAGGACGGTAAACACTTCGATGCTACATTAAACTTTCCAAAACTATGCTGCTCACGCTCAACCGGAATCAGGACTGTCAACTGCTTTTCGACATGAGAGTTCTTAGTCGAACGGATATGGTAAAACACATCGACATTCTGTTTGAGAAGTCTTTGTTCGATACTGCAATCGCTTATTTTTTGGACAGCGCTTCTATGGAGGCTTCAAACGTTGGTATCGACGAGCTCGCACACTTCGCGGTAGCTTGCTGGTAACCTAAACGATGACTTTTCCTCACTTGTGGCATTTTACCTAAAAAAAATATGTCCATGCCAAAGACGAATGTGCGGCTTTGGCAATAGATGACGAATAGTTTCGTGTTGAGCCGCAAACTTGGCCGCGAACTTTCCCGCGCTCAGCTAACCCAGTTTTTTTTTGCCAGAGCTGCAATGACGGTTGGGTCGGAGTTCGTGAACTCGCTGCTCATCTCAAGCGTCAACGTCTCCAACTGCTTTTTCAGCTTTCCGCGAATTGGAGACACCATCGGTACAAGATTGGACGACAGCCAGTCCTGATCTGCTCCTAATATTCTTCTTGCCTACGAGTCGGCGGCACGCCTTGGATCATCCCAGTGTCTCCCCGCTGCGTCATGGCGACATGATCAAGTGCGGATGGCCAATGCGTGGTGGAAGTCGAAGAGTAGACCATCGTCCTCTGTTAGGTACGAGATCACGTGGTATTGTATTCCTTTGGAAGACAGCGCTTGGTACTGTCTCCGTTAACTCATCTAGTTTCACGCCATCTTCGTGATTTATTACGGCCAGGTATCTCAGGCTTTAGCGAAGAACTTAAATCGGCGCTGCATCGGCATGATCTTTGAACCGCAATAAGGATGTCAAGTGCTTTTGTCACGCATCTTTGGTGTGCATGTAGCTTCTGGAGTCAATTCGAACAGGGGAGGCTTGGCCGTCGCAGCATACGTTTCGTCCAACGTTACCTTGACCTAACTCTTGTCTCTGTGACACCCTAGAAGCAGATTCAATGGTTGCACGTTCTTTACACCAAATCTACCTTAATTGTCGAGCGCCTCGGTGCGACGGGCCATGTTATGCCTCTTGCTTCTTAAGATCAGCATTTCTATCTACATCATGGGTATACCAGTGAGAGTAGGTTGTAATTTTTTCTTCCATAGTGAAGTCTGCTCTTCTTATTGTGGTATAGATACTCCAGTGCCGATGCAATCTCAATCGATTTAACTGCAATTATTGTCACCGGGAATTAGACAAATGCGGTCCTACGTGCGTTCCTTCAAAACTTCGGTCGAACCTTGCGTCCCGTGTATGCAGATATTTAATACGCCTCGCGTTCCGTCCTCTTCCGGTGCGCTCCCAGCGTCGATCTCTGGCGTAAATATTAGCTTGCGTGCGAGGTGCCAGGCTATCGAGACCAAACTAAAAATTTTCTTCGACTTTGATCTTGCTTTACAGGAATGGGATCATATCAATTGTTTTCTAGCACTGTTCGTTGTCCAAGAGGCGAGTTACGTGATAGTTGTCTTGGAAACTCCATGTCTTTTACGGTCCACGTGGATGCTCGATGTAGTAGTTTTTCCATGCAATCTGGCACACGATTCGAGACGTCACGCTCCGCGTCATCTGTTTGACAGCAAAAAAATGGTGATTGTTTGACGGTATGCAACCAAACCCAGCAGCCCCTGCCCTACTGGTAACCTTCTCGACGACCAGCGCTTACCTTCGGTGCAACTTTCGTCACCGGTATGATCATAGTTAACTGCAGACTATTTAGCGTGTCATAACAGCGCTTTCGTTTGCCCCATATCTCAAAATCTTTCAGCATGTCCACCCTGTTGCGATCAATATTTTGTATACCTCCGACTGGACCCGTGGACCATCAATTTCCTGACCGTCGTGAGCCCTACCGGCGTAAGCGTCGGTGCTTTAATAAGGTCCATCCTAACTGATCACCGCTAAAACTCACGCAACAATTCTAGACGGCAACCACCAGAATTTTGGCGCGCCATCTTCTGACACGATCCTATCCTCTCTCTAGCCCGTTGCCACCATCTGATGAAGAAATTTTGCTGACTCGTGTTCCGTTTTGAGCAGCGCAATCTTCAGGCTCAACCGACACTGGGTGTCTCTGCCATACCGGTGCACTTGTCCGTACTTCGACTTTGAATCAAATTCATCTCTGCAATGCTATCCCCCAGGTTGTCAGCAACCATGCGGTATGCCATCCGTCCTCCGGCTCAGCTATCTCCGGCCTGGGACCCGCATCCAACATCATATAAGGTACTTTCACTAACCTTAAGGCTGGCGTAAATAGCGTCAAAATCAGTCTGGTCCGATAACATGGTTTCGTTATCAGCCTGGGTGATAATTGCAGAGAGCTGCAATTACGACGGCTGGAAAAAGTTAAAATAAAGTTAAAAATAAATGGCTCAAAAAACTGGACCACAGATACGTACACGTGGCCAGCACGAAGTGGACCTCTAGCGAGAAGCATCGCTCCCTCGCGTTCTCTGCTACAAATCCCGATGTACCCGTCGACTTCAAGCTGCACATGCTGAATGGCAAATCTTCGGGTGCGTCGGGTGTCGGTTGACAGTTACCGCACGTCTCCGATTTTCATCGTCACGTGGCCTTCCTGGTAACGCTCCATTTAAAAAAATGGCAAAAAAGCCACAAAATAGAAAATATAACGCGAGATACGATCACCTAATAAACGGCGCGTAGCATGGTGAGGACTTATATGTAGCTATGGTAACCTGTTTTAATCATCTACGCAGACTGGAAGTCACTTTGTTAAAATTCTCTAATTAAGGACAATCTTCTAGTTGGGCCAAACCGTTTCCGTCAATCCAGCCATTGTGGGTTCGATTCCCACCTCCGACCAAAATTAAGGTCTAACAATAAGAACTCGATGTTACAACAGGAACCCGATACTAGAGAGTAAAACAGCATGGAAGGCGGAAGATCTCAAGTAAAGCAAGAAATTCCCGACGCCCGACGCGGCCAAAACGATTTTGATTGAAACTCATTAACAAAGTATAAAATCCAAGCAAGGCCGAGAAGGTAAAATCATTGTAAACGTTATCTGAGGCTATTTAAATTGAGCCAAACTAACTTCAAGACCATCGATTGCTCTCATCTAACACACCGATCACAGCTCTTCTTCGTGATATAGACTTGTTCACATAATCTTATGCCACTCCAGAGACGGTCCAGTATCCTTGAACACCTGTTTCAACCACTCTGGACGTCTTGACGGACTCACCACTGAAAAAGATGTCATCCCTCCCGACGTCGAATGAACCCTTTCGAGCGCTACACGTATCCCTGCTGCACACAATAGTCGATACCTACCACTTTTTATCGGTACCGACAAATCTTTCCATTCCAGTCGATCGCCGCTCTATTGAATGTCCTATACTACCAGAAGCAATACGGAGACGCCCCGGATGCGCGTGATCGAGTTATCGTTTGTATTGTTTGTTGCAATGCTCGCTGTCTTCGCATGTCACCCGATCGAGATTATGTTGAAGCTTACATAGCTAGAGCACCTTCTTATCAACCATCTATCTTGAGCGTCAGAGCTGGTAGGATCATGTAATACGAGGTAGAGAGAGAGAGGAAAGAAATTGTCAAAGAGATGCTCCCTGCCACGATCGAACTGGCGACCTTCAGTTTATGAGATTGACCCTCTACCAACTGCGTCAAATGAGTCTCAATTTGCCAGATATTACGCTTGTTAAATCAAGAAGAACCCTCTCCTTCTTCAATATTTCTGCCCACCCTCGTTCCGTCTTTTTCCATGGAAACCCAGCAACCGCCTCTTCTCTTGTCCACGACCCGGCACCACATGGTGCTCCGGATTTGAAACGTGTTGCTTTGACTGCTAGTTCAGATGGTACACCTGCTGGTCCATTCTCGTTCAATGATTCGGCTCCAGCTCTCGGACGGTAGCCCCATCTGACAATGCTCAGGCTCCACACACTGATGGTAGCCCTGACGAGATCATGGACGAGCCGCCTTCTGGCTCTATCTCGCCCTTTGTCCCGCCTGCATCTAATGACGTTCCGATGGACAAGCCGTCTCCCGTCTCTAAACCCGGCTCTTCGCCTCCGAGCACTCATCCCCGTCCGACGATGGCTGACGTGCTTAGCATGCAAGAACACCTTCGCCGAGGCTGACGCCGCGCTGATCGTGTTGAAACTATCAAGCCTCTCGCAAGTGACATCGAGTGGATCGAGCGCCAATACGCCGCTGGTGGTGATTGGTCGTTCATTGCTTCTCGTACTGACCAGGCGAGACCGTATGCTCTTCCTATTGCCAAGTACGATCTGGTGATCTCAACGGATCGAACGCTCGAGAAGACTCCTCTACAGAAGATCATGGTATCCTTCTCTGGTACACACCACGGGAATGACTCTGGAGGACCTCTACCGCAGCCTTAAGATCGATCAAGTGTCTGAGCTGCCTTTTGGCGATCTCCGCATCAAGGTGAAGTCAGAAGAAGCCTGTCTCCGCCTCGAGCGCACAAAGGTGAACATTCTGGGTGGCGCCTACATGTTCAATGGGTTTGATGTGCTTGGTGGCAAGTAATTCATCGACATCTCCCACATGGACTTTTACATGTACACAAACATGATTCTTTAAGGCCCATTTCTTCTTGGCTGCAAGCCCATCTACGACATCTTTCGTGAGGTAAACCTAGCGGCTGGCATTACGTCTGCTACTTGGCGCGTGTACTTCTTGACGAAATCAAGTCTTAGTGCACTGATCATGCATGGCAGCTTCTACGACCAGGTGCTGTTTGACAACAAGCTACACCCAGCTCATGGGAAAACGCTCGTTCTATTCAAATCTTATGCCACTTAGCTGCATTGCTCACAAAGGACACGACTTAGGTACGACCACTAGAAATTCTCTACCACTGTTCCGGGGCCTGCTCGGATACCGCTCCAAAACCAGAAGAAACCACCGCAGATATTTGTGGACGCTGTGAAAGCTCCTGCACTTGCTGTGCCTGCGAAGATTCCCCAGAATATATTACTCCAAAGGGCAGCTGAGAGGGCAAAAACGGGAATTTAAGCTTTGCCAAGGAGATCAGCATTACAAGACGTACGCGGAAAACTTAGCCCGTCCTGGCTTCATCCAGCACCTCGGACTATTTTTCAGTCTCTACATTTTGTGAATGTCAAGGCACAATCACTCTTGTTAAGAATACAAAGCTCTAAAGACACCCATACTGATAGCGAGGTCGACGATTACGTCGCTGCAACTTCCAGGAAAAAAAGCACTCGCCACGCGATCGATTTCTCCAACATGGTAATGAAGCAATAGAAGCTTTCATTTAATGGCATTGTCACCGCCAACTACTTTCAAATTTCCAGACAAAACTCGTTGGTACTCACCTCAAGCGTTGTGCGTTCTTGTCGAATGCAGACCCTCTATCTATCTCTCGTCTTCTACCGGACAACAACCAGCCGTTACACCTCTGGTCGTCAAACATAACTTCACAGCGACTGCCGTTTGGTTGGTATTTAATCAGCATATTAAGCTTCAACATAATATCTCGATCGGATGACATGCGAAGACAGCGAGCATTACAACAAAAAATACAAACGATGACTCGATCGCGCGCATCCGGGGCGTCTCCGTATTGCTTCTGGACATTCAATAGAGCGGCGATCGACTGGAATGGAGTGATTTGTCGATACCGATAAAACGTGGTAGGTATCGACTATTTTGTGCAGCAGGGTAGCGCTCGAAAGGGTTCATTCGACGTCGGGAGGGATGACATCTTTTTCAGTGGTGAGTCCGTCAAGATGTCCAAAGTGGTTGAAACAGGTGTTCAAGGCTTCTGGACCGTCTCTGGATTGGCAGAAGATTATGTGAGCACGTCTCTATCACGTAGAAGAGCTGTATTCGTTGTGAAAAACGAGGGCGACCTATGGGCTTGAAGCTCCTTTGGCTCAGTTGGTAGAGCGTCAGTCTCACCATCTGAAGGTCGCCAGTTCGATCCTGGCAGGGAGCATCTCTTTGACAATTTCTTTCCTCTCTCTCTCTATCTCGTATTACATGATCCTACAAGCTCTGACGCTCAAGATAGATGGTTGATAAGAAGGCGCTCTAGCTAGGTAAGCTTCAACATAATCTCGATCGGGTGACATGCGAAGACAGCGAGCATTGCAACAAAAAATTCGAACGATAACTCGATCACGCGCATCCGGGGCGTCTCCGTATTGCTTCTGGTAGTATAGGACATTCAATAGAGCGGCGATCGACTGGCATGGAAAGATTTGTCGATACCGATAAAAAGTGGTAGGTATCGACTATTTTGTGCAGCAGGGTGTGTAGCGCTCGAAAGGGTTCATTCGACGTCGGGAGGGATGACATCTTTTTCAGTGGTGAGTCCGTCAAGATGTCCAAAGTGGTTGAAACAGGTGTTCAAGGCTTCTGGACCGTCTCTGAGAGGGCAGAAGATTATGTGAGCACGTCTATATCACGTAGAAGAGCTGTATTTGTTGTGAAAAACGAGGGCGACCAATGGGCTTGAAGCTCCTTTGGCTCAGTTGGTAGAGCGTCAGTCTCATAATCTGAAGGTCGCCAGTTCGATCCTGGCAGGGAGCATCTCTTTGACAATTTCTTTCCTCTCTCTGTCTCTATCTCGTATTACATGATCCTACCAGCTCTGACGCTCAAGATAGATGGTTGATAAGAAGTTGCTCTAGCTAGGTAAGCTTCAACATAATCTCGATCGGGTGACATGCGAAGACAGCGAGCATTGCAACAAAAAATACAAACGATAACTCGATCACGCGCATCCGGGGCGTCTCCGTATTGCTTCTGGTAGTATAGGACATTCAATAGAGCGTCGATCGACTATGATGGAAAGATTTGTCGGTACCGATAAAACGTGGTAGGTATCGACTATTGTGTGCAGCAGGGATACGTGTAGCGCTCGAAAGGGTTCATTCGACGTCGGGAGGGATGACATCTTTTTCAGTGGTGAGTCCGTCAGGATGTCCAGAGTGGTTGAAACAGGTGTTCAGGGCTTCTGGACCGTCTCTGGAGTGGCAGAAGATTATGTGAGCACGTCTATATCACGTAGAAGAGCTGTATTCGTTGTGAAAAACGAGGGCGGCCAATGGGCTTGAAGCTCCTTTGGCTCAGTTGGTAGAGCGTCAGTCTCATCATCTGAAGGTCGCCAGTTCGATCCTGGCAGGGAGCATCTCTTTGACAATTTCTTCCCTCTCTCTCTCTATCTCGTATTACATGATCCTACCAGCTCTGACGCTCAAGATAGATGGTTGATAAGAAGGTGCTCTAGCTAGGGTACTCGCCTTAATCATTGTGCGTTCTTGTCGAATGCAGACCCTCTATCTTGTTAGAATTAACTAGGTTGTGGAGCTGATGCTGAGAAGAAGATGGCTTACGGCCGGGGATGAAAACCGAAAAGTGAGTTGTATTCAAATTGTTCCTAGCTTCGAAAACGAATGGCTAGTAGTAGCCGGTGACTCTCAGCCACCTATTTCGTGCCCTGTCTCCACCGCTTTCTGTTTTACCTATCCCTGGGTAATTACGTCTCGTAAATACCTTTCGTAAAAACTCTGCTGTGTCATATGCTGAATGAAAACGATTGCGTGGGTGGGGGACGTAACTGCGGGCGGGTCACAGTTCTGGTGAACCCCAAACACCAGGTCGTGAGTGTCAGTCACAATTAACTTGTACACGGCGGGGATCGAACCCGCACTCACCCGCGTGGAATCCCCCTTCCCAAACGACTGAGCCAATCCGATGACTTGTCGTTTCGCTAGCATCCCACAATATAAACCTGCCAAAGAACAATACAACTAATGCAAATATGCAATATACACCCTGCACAAGTCGCCGCATCATCACTCGCTAACACTCTCCCTTGATGTGCGTGCGACGTGTGACCCCTACACCGCCATGCACAAACCCGTGATGAACTTGCTGTGCTTGTCTCTTGGAAGTGCTTTGGTGAATCCATCCGCGACCATTTCTTCTGTCGGCTTGAACTCTAGCGCGATAACTGCACTTGCAACCTTTTCACGCAAAAAGTGAAACTTGATGTCGATGTGCTTCGTGCGCGAGTGGTACACAGGATTCTTGGCCAGCGCGATGCAACCTTGATTGTCTTGAAAAATCGTCGTCGCGTTCTTGGCACAGTAGTTCAGGTCCTTGAGCAGACCTCGAAGCCAAATTGCTTCCTGCGTCGCGCTGTACAGACTCATGTACTCTGCTTCCGTACTTGAGGTCGCGACCGTTGGTTGACGCTTCGAGCTCCACGATATCACGCTTCCGTTCAGGAAGAAAACGTATCCTGTTGTCGAACGCCGCGTGTCGAGGTCGCCAGCCCAGTTTGCATCTGCAAATCCAATAAGCTCTCCCTTGTTGATGCCGCTGAACACGATGCTTAAGTCTTGAGTCGTCTTGAGATACTTGAGAATCCGCTTTGCTGCTGTCCAATGCGACTTGTCGTAGCGCTCGCAAAACTTCGCAACTTCGCCAACCGCATGCGCAATGTCCGGTCGTGTACATGTGGCGATGTACATTAAAGCGCCCACCAGCTCACGGTATGGGTACTTTGGTACAAACGCTTCCTCTTGACCCATCTTGATCAGCTTCGAATTACTGTCCGCCGGCGTGTGCATGTCCTTGCAGTTCTCAACGCCGAACTTCTCCGAAAGTCGCTTGATGTACGCCTTCTGGTTCATCTTGATCGTTCCATCTTCGCGCTTGCGATGAATCTCGATCCCGAGGCAGTACTTGAGATCTCCAAGATCTTTAATGCTGAAATCTTCCATCAATGAGTTCTTGATACTTGCGATGTGCTCCTTCGTCTTGCAGAAAATCATCAAGTCGTCCACGTAGATCAAGATGATGCTGTACTCCTCTCTTGTCACTCGAACGAACACACACGGGTCCGCTGCACTGCTCTTGAATCCTTGATCAGCCAAGTGCTGACTCAACTTGTTGTTCCACTGCCGCGCCCCTTGCTTCGTCCCGTATAGCGCCTTCTGCAGCAAACACTTCTTATTCGGGCTTCCTTCATCTTCAAAACCGTCAGGTTGGTCCATGTAGATCTCCTCTTCCACTTCGCCGTAGAGAAACGCTGTGTCGACATCAACGTTTTCTGCTTCCAGGTCTTCGGCTGCAGCGATCGCCAACACTGTGTCGATAGATTCCTTGCGCGCCACTGGTGCGAAGGTCTCGTTATAGTCGATGCCAGGACGCTGCGTGAACCCTTTCGCAACCAAGCGTGCCTTGAACTTGATGATCTCGCCACTTGGATCGCGTTTAATCTTGAAGACCCACTTGCAGCCAACGGCCTTCTTGCCCGGTGGCATGTCCATTAGCTTCCATGTGCTGTGTTCTTCAAGCGACTTCATCTCACTCTTCATTGCCTGGAGCCACTGCTCCTTGTAGCCGCTCTTCATCACTTCTCGATAGCTGGACGCTTGTTCCCCATCTTCTTCAGCCGAGAAACAGTAGAAAGAGTCGAAGTCACCTTCGTAGTCGTCCAAATTGAAGCGACCGCGACGATGGCTTGGAAATTCTTGTTCGTAGCGAAC